TTGTATAATATAATTAAAGATACCAATGTTATTTCAAATTATTAATATCATTAAAAATTTGTTTTTTAATATTATAATAAGATATTTATTATTATTATTATTATTATTATTATTATTATTATTATGAGTATTATTATAAATAAGTATTATAATTACCATAAATTGTTTTAATAATATTATAAACAATTGGTATTATCATTATTATTATTGTTAATCTGAGTATATTATTCTCATTAAGTAGTATTTATTATTTATAATTGAACTTATTGTTTAATTATAATATTATAAACTATTATTATGATAAATTCAAATTGTTATTATGATAAATTAAAATAACTTCATTTAGCTGCAAGTGCAGCATAATAATAGAATATTGAATATAAAAAAATATTGGTAAGAAATAACCATTATTTTCTTGCATAATGACATTAAAATTTGATATTATATTTTTATTATTATTATACTGCATTCTTATATTATTATCAGTTTTAAGCTTTATAAATTATGATTATAGGGCTTAAGCTGGCAAAAAGAAATATTCAGAAATTTTTTTGGCTATTTTGGTATGAAAATAATTAGCCAAATAGAAATTGCTGAGCCTATATGACAAGTCATTACTAACCTCCAGAGCTACAGTATACAGTATAACATAATTAATATTAAACCTAAAATTGAAATTACCTCAACCTAAAACTGAATATAATAATAAACATACTGTAGTTTATTTCATAAAGGAGTATTCGATAGTTAAAAACTTAACTCTGATGTTAAAACTGCTTCAACACTGCATTTATTTCAACGAAATTTTAAGATTTTATATTAATCTGCAGCCTAACTTTGTGCAATATAAAGTTTTGTTTATTTTCTATTCATTTTTCTTTTTGCAAATGTATTTATAACAGTATGTTGTAGAGTAGGTATAGCCAAATTTAAAAATGCTGATTGATTTGAATTAAATATGTTCACTGACCTTAAAAAAAAAAAAAATATCAATTCCAGTGGAGTAGTTAAAAAAAAAATAAATTATCAATTGCTTATACAGTAGAACCGCTATTAAGGGGACACCTTAATAGGGATGTCCCCTTAAAAGGGGTACCCCTGTTCATGGGACATTAAACAAAAACTTGAAATTGTCCGCTTAATAGCATGTTTTCATACAATTATGTTTAAATGACATACAGTAAGAATCAATTACAGAAGAATTGGAAATAATTTGTAGCAATAATTTGCAACGCAAATACGATTTATTTATAATATGAAAAACAAAGAAATCCCTGTGGTTAAGGGTAAAAATGTCAAGATCGTGGCTTATACGAAGTAACACATACATTATGGGCCTATACCGATATTCACTCTAAGGATTCAGGAAAGAAAATTCTTGTTTATTGCTAAAAAGGTGTCATAATATAAGGGTGAATAAATTGTTCTTATTTTGAGACTTTTGTAGTTGTAAAAAAATATTAGGTGTGTTCCCTTAACAGCGGTTATTTTACCATTTGGCACACTCAGAAAGTGTCCCAGTTCCCTTAAATAGAGGTGTCCCAAAGGAGGGGGTTTTACTTTAAAAAGACAAAATTTTCAAACACTAAGATGCCCCATACGAGCCTACAGTATGTCTTATGAGGCCTGATGGTGTGAAATTAAAAGAGTAGTACTAAAGTGCGAGGCAGCGAGGCATGCGAGGCAGCGAGGCAAAACGACGATTCATGCGAGGCATCGTTTTACCATTCCCAAAAGTGCGAGGCATAACAACGATAATATTGCGAGGCATCGTTTTACATCGAAATATGTGCAGAGAACAACGGAAATCCAATGTAAAAGTAATATTACGTACTATTTAATAATTATGCGTGGTAGTCATTGTCAAATTTGCTACTTAATTTGATTTGCTACCACAGTGGATTTATTCTTCTCCGCCTAGGCTATATAGTCAGTAACATCGCTGATCACAGTAAATTAAAACCAGAGCCTTGCAGGCGTCAACGTTCCTATGCATGATAATGACTTAAAAAGTATATATAGGCCCTATATATATATGTGTATATATATATACGTATATATATACGTATACACGCGTGTGTACATATTATATATACACGCGCGTGTGTATATATACGCGTGTATATATATACGCATGTATATATATACGTATATATACACGTATATACACGTATATACGTATATATAATATGTATATATATATACATATATATATATACATATATATATATGTATATATATACGTATATATATTATGTATATATAATACGTGTATATATATATGTGTATATATATACGTATATATACGT